GCAGCTGTTGGTGTGACCTTGGATCAGTTACAAGTTCTTTCAGAGCTGTTCTCTCAATAGCAGTCTCAAAAGCGCTCTCTCAACCTCACCTACCTAACAGGGTGTCTGTTGTGGGGAGGGGAAAGGAGATTGTAAGCCACTCTGAGACTCCTTCAAGTAGTGAAGGGTAGGGTATAAATCTAACCTTCTCTTCTTGTATACTCAACGAGGAATTTCACATTACCCTTTTTAACCCATTTTGAAGCCGTTTTTGATCCGTCGTGGAGTAAACCGGTATAGGGCTGCCATTTCACAGATGGCTTTCCCCTACCGGTAAAGAGCTGGATCCGAAGCGGTTTGCCATTTCAGACTGCACCGCTTTTTCTCGCTTTTCCCCCGCCATTTTTTGCCCATGTGGGCAAACACCGGCTTTTTTTTTTTTTGGAACATTAGCTTTAGAGCGCCATAGCACTATAGTGATATAACACAACCAGGTCGTAGACTGGGGCTGGGCCAGAGGCATTGCTAAGTCATTAAAAGAACTGGGACCCAATGACATCATAGGGAGGAGCTAGTGACATCACAGGCATGGTCATTATCTATGGAGGTGGACCCATGTGGGATTTAGGGATGGGCTCCCCAGAAATTTAGGGAGGCCTGGGAACCGCCCTAGCAATGTCCCTGGGCTGGGCTAACCCCAGGAACAGTTGCCTTCTTAGAACACTGCTTAGAAACTTAGAAAGCCCCACACACACCCCACACTGGAATAAGAACATAATATCAGGCCATACCACATTGCAATAAAGCCCCTACAACTTTATACAGAAATACTGAGCTTCCCTACCATTTGCCACAACTAGCCCACCACACAAGAAGAAGAAGAAAAGATAGGATTTATACCCCGCCCTTCACTACCCAAGGGAGTCTCAGAGCGGCTTACAAACTCCTTTCCCTTCCCCTCCCCACAACAGACACCCTGTGAGGTGGGTGGGCCTGAGAGAACTCTGACACAAACTGCTCTTTTTCAAGGACAGCTGTGCCAGAGCTTGTGACTGACCCAATGTAATGTATTGAAATGATTACATGAATCACCTCATAGGACTCCCATGTTAAGCTTCGAGCCAGACCAGGGCTCCTCTGAGCGAACTTCCTATTGGTCGCTTCGTAACAGCGACCAATCAGAACGATACCATTCCCTAGGAGGGAAAGACTCCCATTGGTCCTTAACCAAGCAATCTCATTGGTTGTTAAATGTAAA